AACAACTGATATAGCGTTTTACCATGGTCAGGATTATACGCAATCGTGATCTATTTGCAGGACAACCGGCACGATATGTTGCATTAACGCCTGCTCATCATAGAGAACATTTTCTATGGTGAAGAAAGCCCAAGCACTAGGCAGATTAGCAGTGGGGTTTAATACTTTTTATGGACGAGAGTAGATTGAGTCTCTTTGCAATTCTGGATTAATATGCATCTGCAGAGAGCATGTAATAACTTTACCGATATAATTAAAAGGAATTAGTTTGGAAGGAGCAAAGTCTTAGTTTGGGAAGGTATTATGCTTGATATCCATACCGACCTCCGTATCTTCTGAGGAGTTTCAGTCAGTAGTTCCTGCTATTGTATGGAATTTCTTTTTTCTCGAGTGTGTTTTTGGAGTAACTATGAGTCCTCAGTTCTTTATGGATTACACCAGCATACAATGGCTGTCGAAGAGCCATTGTTGAAAATATTCAATGCGCATGTAAGGTTCTCGGTTCTAAATTCATTCAAACATGTGTGGATGTTAGAGGAGGCAGTTTGGCAGCTCTCGTTCTATGTTTGCAATGATTCCGGAGCTGCAATTAGTGCTACGTGAGGAAGGGGCAGCAATGTTGGCAGTCTTGTATTCAACGTGAGTCAGACGAAGCAAATCCTTCACTGTAGTCAGATGGGATCATATCTCCCCATATAGATGAGTTTTCTTGTGAGCCATCTGTCATATAAATACTTTGGTTGTGCTCCAAGCTTAATTTTTCAATAACGTTCCTTTCAATTCAGTGGACTTTTTTTTTTTTTTTGAAAATTTTTGTTTATTTACTTTTTTTTATGTTTTCCATGTCTTATGTCTCTTGCACAATTATTGTGTCTTATTGGAACAATTTTGAACGACGCTGCATAAGAAAAATCGCCTCGTCCTTACTTTTACATACGCCAGTGTATCTATATGAATTAATAACTATACACATTAACAAAATGCAATATTGCCATTATTTAAAAATTTTAATCATTTAAATCTACAATTCTGACTACTCTATTTGCGATGGATTGCAAGAATAATTTTATCAATACTTCAGAAAATTAAATGCATAGCAGACAGCTATTTTAAAATATTTAAAAATCTGAATTTTTTTACTTTTAGTGTATAAACTGGTATCACTGTTTTATATAAAAACAATGTAAATTTTTTGTGTACAGTTTTATTTGCCTTGTTTATTTTCAAAAATTGCATATTAGAGAAAAAAACATAAAATAAAGAAGAAAAAAAATTTTTAAATGGTGTAACTAAAAAAATTTGCCACTTTTCGTTCTTTCTGTACCAGAATAATTTCATGTTACAATCAATCATTTTAAATCAAACTTGCAATTAATTCAGCCTAAAATAACTTATGAAAATAAGATGAAACATATCTAAGATGAATTTTTTCAATACCTAGGTGGGTGCGAGTACAATTCTTGACGCTTAACTCTAGAACGTCCGTCGCGGAAATGCGGAACAGCGGAAATGAGTAAGTTATACTAAAATCGCTGTGCCTAAGTGTTTTGTTACAAAGTATTTGCTTATCTGCTCATACAAAAATTTCATTCCATTTTTGAACCTTGTGCAGAGTAGACATCGAAACGATGACTCATGGAAAATGTCTACACCCTGATGAAATTGCTAATTTGTTGCGAGAGCTTTCTGAAAGTGAATCGGTTCTAATTTAGATTCCAATGAAGACATAAGATTGAGTGAAAGTGACTGCGAAGAATCTGAAGAAAGTGCAGATGTAACTGATAATATTACAGTAACTCCTGATATATATGTTACGCAAGGGATGGTACAGAGTGCATACCTCTAGATATTAATATTCATGGGAAATTTGCGACTCGAAATGTTTTGCGACAAAGCAGTGGTCCAACAAGCTTCGCGAAACATACCGTCAAAGTCAGTATTTTATGTTATAAAGGGTAATAATGTATGGTAATTACATGAAATAATATTATTAAGTCTTAAAACTAAACCCCCTACTGAACAGTAGTGCTGCAATTATTTAGTTATTACGATTATTTTATATTGCGATGTATGTCAAAACGACACCGGTGGACGTTTAAGGGTAATCGGAATTCCGGACGTTCTAGTGTGTTTAAGCCCTCACAAAATACTTAATGAACACCAAACTCAAAATTAACCCTTTTGATTCTTGAAAAATTTTCATGTTTTAGCAACCAAGAAGATAAAATATCGGTCACTTCAATGGAAAAAAGAGTTCATCCCTGAAATATATATATATATATATATATATATATATATATATATATATATATATATATATATATAAAGGGTGTTTTTTTGAGAGGTATAGAACTTCAAATTGCAATAAAACAACGATGTATTATTCGATTGACATGAATTTTTTTTTATTCGAAAGATAATCTTGTGGCATTACATTTTAAATATGATTTCTGGCATAGGACTGCCACGGCTGGCTCGGATGTAGTCCAATCTGGACGTCCAATTTTCGATGACTTTTTCCAACATTTGTGGCCGTATATCGGCAATAACACGGCGAATGTTGTCTTCCGAATGGTCAAGCGTTTGTGGCTTATCCGCATAGACCAATGACTTTACATAACCCCACAAAAAATAGTCTAGCGTTGTTAAATCAAAAGATCTTGGAGGCCAATTCACAGGTACAAAACGTGAAATTAGGCGGTCACCAAACGTGTCTTTCAATAAATCGATTGTGGCACGAGCTGAGTGAGATGTTGCGCCGTCTTGTTGGAACCACAGCTCCTGGACATCATGATTGTTCAATTCCGGAATGAAAAAGTTAGTAATCATGGCTCTATACCGATCACCATTGACTGTAACGTTGTGGCCTTCATCGTTTTTGAAGAAGGATTCCACCAGCCCATAAAGCGCACCAAACAGTCAGTTTTTCTGGATGTAACGGTGTTTCGACATACACTTGTGGATTAGCTTCACTCCAAATGCGGCAGTTTTGTTTGTTGACGAAGCCATTCAACCAGAAGTGCGCTTCATCGCTAAACAAAATTCGCTTATGAAAATCGACCATTATTTTCGAAATAAAATCGCACAATTTGAAAGCGTTGTTCAGGCGTGAATCTATTCATGATGAATTGCCAAACCAAACTGAGAATAAATCCCTTGACAGCTATTAAATCGGTCGCCATCTCGGAAAGTAATGCCAACTTAAACTTCTATACCTGGAAAAAAAACACTCTGTATATATATATATATATATATATATATATATATATATATATATACGGTTACTAGCTAATTCTTTTTTGAGTCGCAGACGTTAATTGATTATAAAAACCTCTTGTTTTAATACGATCTCGACACTTGTACAAGACATCGTTACTAAATATAGTGCACATCTAAACTGGTTTCAGTGTTTTCTTTAAATACTTCGAATGGGCGATCCAGTTAATAGAGGTGTCAGTCGAAAAAGAAAAAATGGAATAAAAGAACTAGTGTCCAGCTATTCTAAAAGTAAGCTATAAAAGCGGGAAAGATAGATTCAGTTATTGAGGCCACGGATAGAGAAAGGATGGTGGTAAAAAAAAATTCTAAATAAATGGTGGCGTGGGACTTCCTCCAAAAGGGGAATCCGGAAGTGATGAGATCAACCCCATTTTTTTCAAACCACTTTCACTAACCCACTTCGGAGCCAGTTTTCTTTTGTTTCCAGCATGACGTTCTAAAACTAGTCTCGTTTCTGTGCTGTATTGCATGCTTCAATTGGCTTCCAAAGCGACCGATACATCGCAGTCACGTGAGAAATTGAAAGTTCAGAAACGAAAACGAGAAGACGACATAGAAGAGAAAGTTGGAATGGCAACCCATTCTCTCTTCTGACCTTTGAAGAATTTTTATTTTTTCCCCTCGACTTTCAACCGCCATTTCTTTTCTGTCGTGCGCTTTAGAATTTTATTTTTACACGTACGTATTGCAACACTCAGAAGTGTCCAGGAAAAATAATTCTCTGTCATTTCCGAAAATAGATGTGAATCTCCGTTGGTTATTATTATTATTTTTTCCTTTCCTTTGTGATGTCAGTTGGTTGAGTTTGCATTGTGCTGTAAATTGAAGTTTTTAACCTATTATAAGGGATCTATGATTTTAACCTCAAAGGTCTAACAGCTATAACTTACAAAACAACTCAAATGATTGATTTCTTAACAGGTTTAACAGCTGTATTTCTTTGAGTAGGGTATAACCAGCATTAATAAGCACTTAACTATATCTAGATCGTGGATGAACTCATGTAGCTTATTGCAATAGCATTGAATTTCATATCTGAATTATTCCATACCTTTTTTTTCAATTCCTGCTATTAGTAATTCCTCCCTCCCTATGTATATTTATATATATATATATATATATATATATATATACATACATATATATATATATATATATATATATATTTATATATATATATATTTATATATATATATAATCCAATATAAAAAAATTCAATATATAAATATATATACACATGTATATATAAATATATATATATATATATATATATATATATATATACACAAATATATAAACGAAAATATAAAAATAAACAGATAGTTATAACCTAAGATAACTATAAATAGGTAGAAGGCACAATAGTATAATGACAAACGCCTGGCCTTAGGAACCAGGATTGCAGGTTTAAACATGTTTTGTGGCCGACCAACCTTCACCTGAAATTTGTCATACTCTGTACCAAGAGGAAAGGAAAGAATTATATAAGAGGAATTCAAATAATATATATATATATATATATATCTTGTTCAAATTTTCATTGGTTAATAAAATACTTTCTATTCATCCATTCAAGTTAATAGATTTTTTTAAACTTGAAGTGGATGACACTTGTGATGTTAATACATTTTTTTCAAATATTAATTCACTTAGTTCTGTTTAATTAGTGAATAAACAGTACGAACAAAAATAATAGTCCAACACCCTATATAAAAAGGAAAATCACTCGTTGTGGTTAGCGGGTTGGAATTCTAATCCAAATCGCGTGGGTTCGAATCCCACCAAGGATGGCCTAATTTTTGAGAATGTTGATTTCTTTTTCACTACACTATTTCATTAGAATAGTTAAATTTAATTAATGAATAAATAGTAACAAACACAAACAAAAAAAAATAGTCCAAAATGCTATATGGAAAGGAAAATGGAAAGTTGCAAGGAGAAAATCGCTTTCCATTTTGCCACTCAATAGTGTGATTCTGTCCTATGTATATACATATTTATATTAATTGTAACTATTTAATGTAAAAAGTAACTATAAGTTAAAATGTTTCTTTGCTGACCGAAGTGGGAATTGACTTAGAAAAATTTTTTTATGTATATTACTTGTTATATTGCTCTAATTCTGATTTAACTACTTAATATGCATTTTATAATAAGATTAAATAGAATTCAGTGTACTCGAAACACTTTTTAAGAGCGAAAAATTATCCAAATTAAAATAATATATTCTAAATTCTCTGTCTTGTAAGAAAAATATGAACCATTTTTACAGTGATACTTATATCTCTCAGACATTTTTAATAGCAAAACATTTACATCGTTATTCATTTTCTTACTGCGGTATTAAATAGACTTTTCACATATTTTAAAAGGAAAAATACAAATTCCTGGAATTTAATAAAGTCCTTTTTTAATAAATCAATGTACCCGTCATAAATTTACGAGTTTATATGAAAATTGGAGTATTTTTCTGTCTGAAATTGAGTTCCAAATTTGGTTCAGGTTCTTTGGCAAACCTTACAAGAAAATATGCTTTTTCTGAACATTCATGTTTTTCAATTTAATTAATTTTAATTCAGTTTTTTTATGTTTTAAAAGTTTAATATATGTGTTAAAAAACACATCATCTTAAAAAAAAATCTAATGCTTCGTTCCATTAAAATTTAGTTATAGAGTTAATGCCAGAATTCTGAAAAAAAGATGAATTTTTTAAATTTTAAGGGGACACGGTACGATTCAATTGACAAAAATCGGTCAAAAAAACAAATCTAATTTTTTTAGCCTAGATTATTTTCTAAATAATTTTCTATACTCTCACAAAATTTGAAAACTCTAAGTTTAAAAAGCGCTGAGTTATGATAATTTTTTTACGTTTGTTTTTGTTCACAATCCAATAGCAAATCAAAACTTTAAACTGACTTATTCCAGAAAGATAAAATAACTAGTTTGACTTCATTTAAAATGCTAAAGCATTTTTTTCTATTGGGCAAAATATTTGGAAATTTTTTTAACTTGTTGCTAATAGTACATGAAATAAAAGTTGATATACATTTTTCAATCAAAGCGATACTTATTTTTTTAAAAATAATTGAATTTAGAATTTAGAAATTTTTTAAGGAATTTTCATTAAGCATTCATAAAAAGAAGTCTTGTACAAATACCAATCATGTTATCGCAAAACCCATACCAACTTTTGTTATACATAGTTTGACGTACCTGTATAAATCAAATTTCATATATGTACGTCAATTTTTGTAGGAGGAGAGAGAGAGTAGCATTTTTTTTAAAATCACTTCATAAATTTTTAATTTTTTCCTTCAAAAATTAAATCGTTGGCTTTTTAAGAAATTTTGAGCACAAAATGCGTTTCACATAATAAATACACATAGGAGACAACCAAAAAAAATTTTGAAAAATTTTGTGTAAATCGTACTGTGTCCTCTTAATGTGGACTAGTCGTTACCCACCCGCTTTGCTGGGTATTTCTTTATGTTGTATGTCACTTTGCATTGTTATATGTTAATCATATATATATGCTAGTATAAAGCTTTCGAGTGATTTTTAAAACACATTCTTATAGCTTTCCCGTCTTGATTTAAAAACAAGTAACATATAAAAAAATTAAGTCAATTCCTACTTAGATCAACAAAGAAAGATTTTATTTTAGTTACTTTTTATCAAATAGTTACAATTCATATAAATATATACATACATAGGACAGAATCACAATATTAAGTGGCAAAATAGGAATTGATTTCCCTTGCAATATATGTTGTTGGAATATTATTTTTGTTTGTTTCTATTTATTCATGTTCATAAATCACATTCTCAGAAAGTAAGCCATCCCAGGTAGAATTCAAACCCACGATCCTTGGATTAGAAGTCCAACGCGCTAACCATTGCACTACTTTTCTTTTTATATAAGATATTGACCTGTTATTTTTGTTTGTTACTATTTATTCATTAATTAAGTTTAACTAATAAATTAATATTTGAAAAAACTGTATTAATATCAAGTGTCATCTACTACAAGTTTAAAAAAATGTATTTAAACCAGAATGATTGAATAGAAAGTATTTTATTAACAGTTGAAAATTTGTACAAGATTTGTATACACTCAGGAACATTGAAAATAGCGACCCAAGAAGGAAGCTAAGTACAATCGCGAAACTTTGCAAATAAGTACAGCGTAATGTGATATGCAAATGATCCAAGTTTTGTACCAATACGCATGCTCATACACGCCAAGGTGGTGCTACAATCAGGAAGAGGGTGCTATATAAGCCAGCGCAAATTCGAAGATTCATAAACGTGACGATTACCCGCCGATTGTAGGAAGACTTTGGTAAGCGAAACATGCCTGGTAAACGTGCTAGAAGACATTTCTCCCAGTTAAGCGAGTTTGAGAGAGGCCTGATCATCGTGATGAAAACTGCAGGCTGGTCGACACGCCGTGTTGCTAGCCAGGTGGATCGTTCGGAGTGTGCCGTTAGAAATTGTTGGGAGCAGTGGACAGGAGAAGGTACCCACGCGCGGAAGACCGGGTCTGGTGCGACCAGGAAGACCACGAGGAGAGAGGATCGAAGGATCGTGCGGCAAGCACTTGTGGACCCCACAGTGACTCGTTCAACGATACGAGCAGACGTAGGCGTAGCAATTGTTCCACAAACAATTTCCAGACACCTTGCAGAAGCAAATCTTAAATCCAAGCGCCCTTTCCGTGCACTCCCTTTAACACCGGAGCATCGGCAACTGCGTCTACAGTGGTGCCAAGCCAGATCAATGTGGAATGTCACAGATTGGTAAAAGGTTGTGTTTAGTGATGAATCCCGGTTTGTTTTGGGGACAGATGAAAACCATGTACGGGTGTGGAGGCACCCTGGTGAACGGTACAATTCCCCCCACACTGTTCTACGTCACACTGCCCGCACAGCTGGTGTAATGGTCTGGGGGTCATAGCCTATGGTAGCCGGTCCACTTTAATTGTGATGCGTGGAACCTTAACGGGCCAACGTTACGTTGATGATATTCTTCGACTCCATGTAAGACCTTTCCTAAATGGTCTCCCAGGGGCAATTTTCCAGCAAGATAATGCTCGTCCGCATACAGCAAGAGTTGCTCAAGACTTCCTACGTCATTTTTAGACTCTTCCATGGCCGGCCCGCTCCCCCGATTTGTCCCCTGTATAGCACGTGTGAGATCAGCTGAAACGGCAGATGCCATCGTGTCACTCTGTACATGATTTAGAGTTGGCTGTTCAAGATTTGTGGGCCCATCTGCCTCAGGACAACATAAGGTATCTAATCAACTCAATGCCGGATCGTGTGGCGGCATGTATTGCAGCTGGAGGTGGTCCATCGCGCTATTGAAGTTGCCCAGTATTTGTGTCGTTGCACACCCTGTATTCGTTTAATTGTCTTGTTTTTAAGATCAAGTGAATCTCTCATCTGTGTCATGTGTATTAAATTTCATTTCAATCCGATGCTTTCTTCTTGGGTTGCTATTTTCAATGTTCCTGAGTGTATATATAGGGAGATTGTGAAATAATAGTAGGAATTGTAAAAAGAATAGAGGACTTCAGTTTATAAGTCGGATAGATATATATTTATCTTTTATACCTTCATAACTCCCCCTTGGGAATCTATTTCCGCAAAACAGATTTTACAGATTTTTATTTAACAAAATAAAAATTCCTGCCAATAATATTTTCGGAGGTCTCGTGAGAAGCGAATCACTTTTCTCCCATACATTTAAAGACATGTGCAAAAACAAAAATTCTCTCTTATTTTCTCTCTCTCTCTCTCTCTGTTATACACTATCATATTTTTCTCTCTTTTTAGTAGTGTGTAGAGGTGCATGTGTACTTGGTAACAGATATCGCCATTTTATGTTCTAGTTCATGTTTCAGTTTATCTTTATTACTATGCACACATACTTATGATGAAAAAAAAGTTTAGTAGAAGTCAATAAAGGGATCGGTAAATAGCTCATATATTTTGTTTTATTTTTGAGTTAAGTACCGATCTATGAGAACAAAGAATGAGGTGATTTTAATGTATTTTTATTGTCTATTTGTATGTCATAGTATCATACAATTTAAGACATTTCGTTTAATAGTGTACTTCCATTTTGAAAACGTGTTACGTGATTTTCTTTAGAAGCATTGGAAACATACGGAATAATATTCTTGAAATTGTTGAGAATTATATTTTTCAATCAGTATTAAATTCTTGTATGGTTAAAATCTTCAGTTAAATCAGAGAGAGATGCGTTTTATAAAATAAATCAGTTATAATTTATATATTTTCATTTCAAAATTTCAGTACTTTAAATAAACCATTTAGTTTTTCCCTTTTTTAAGTAACTATGTGAGAACCCCCTGGGTTCCACCCTGGACACCAAGATTAATTTGAGACAAAGAATCACTAAGAGCCATTTTGTATAATAATAACTTGTATTTATTATATCAATTCCAATCTCAAAAAACTCTAATAACATATAATATTTCTATGTTACGTCAAACAAAAGGGATTTACCTTTAATATTAAATTAAATTACGAACTATGAAATTAATTAATAATTACGCGTAAAATTAAATAAGGTCTACCGAAATAGGAGGTCCGAGAAATACACGTAACTCGAATTATTAGCTTTCATTAACTTTAACTAATTTTATTAAACTAACGCTTATTTTAAGGGTAAATAAATTATAGTTACCACCTGGTATATCAGCCTTCCAGATCCTTTCGTAGAATAACAGCAATAAGGCTTCACTAACGTAATCCAATGG